GCTTTTGTTCTTTTCTTCGCAAGGCATTTCTGTACAGACACTTCAGGACCATGGACTGTCGGTGAAGATAGATATATTTTCCCCCTCTTGACAGGTGATGTAAGTTCTAAAAAATGATAGAAAACTGATTACACATTCATGTACTAAACAAACCTGATCACTTGCGTAAAATAATCTTACCCTGTAAATAAGTATCAAATGTTTGGATGAATCAACTAAAGGTTTTGGATCACCAAGGCCATTAAAGTTTAAATCTAGAGAGCAGATATAGAGACAGATAGACATATTGTTGATGTATTGCAAAAAGACACCTTTGGTGTAACTTAGATGGCTGAGATACATATAGGAAGATGTCTCAACAAGTAAGAAGATAAGCACTGAAGACATCTTCCAAAATGATGGATAGAATGATAGGCAAAATGCAGTCCTAGAAAATAATTGCATTGGTGCATAAGCACATGACTAACCGATGTCTGTAAAGTAAAAAATAGCAAATATATTTATGAGCAAGCCATAAGGTGCCATGGTTATACAAATTAACTACTTGGCTAGGTATTTCTTAATTAAGTTTTGAGCTTTGTTTCCTAGCATATAACAATTTTACAGTGTAGTAACATTAATAGATAGCCAGTAATGGGGTTGACCATTGATGCAACCAATTTCATCAATAGTTTCCAGAGTAGTAAAGAAGACAACACCTATATGGCAATATATCACAACTAAACAACAGAATCAGGAGATGCACATTCGCAATAGAGCATGAAGATAAGAACAGTTGAGGGTAATAGAAGTATACAACACACTGACCTGATTAGCTGATTTTGTGGTACAATATCTTGATGGATGTTGGCCTCCTCCCTGCCAATCAACTGATGGTCTTGTTAAAAGTGTATGAGAAGGAAATCAGCGGTCTTGAACCAAATTAAATTATGAAAATCAAACCTCACAAGGGTGGGGGGCCGAGGCGTGCAGGAGGATCAAAGATGGGATACATCCAGATTTTGGCTGGTGTGAGGGGAGAGGCACATAGGGGCGTCAAATCCAATGGCGGGGAAAGGGAGCTAGGCCATTGTTGTGGTCATCACAAACGCGGGGATATGAAGACAACAAACTGATGGGAGGAGCGCAACCGAGGTGCAGGGGAATAAGGCCTGAGGCAAGCACCAGGAGATGAATAATATATAGAGCCGCATGCACTGAGGCAGTTGCAGGTTGGGAAAAAGAAATGCATAACTCTATTAATCGCGCACATCACCCGCGATGAATGCCCCAAAGAATCGACGATTGATTGTCTCATTGAACTTCGGTGGATCAGCTTCCTCTCTACCTACATCGGCGTGTGAAGGAGGCTCGAACCAGCTCGGTCACATGGTCTGGCTCTGTGTCGTCGCCATGGGATCTGTCGCCCCCCCATCGGTCGCAACCCATCTCGGTCACCCATGGAGCCGCCATGGAAAGGGGAGGGAGGCGTGCGAGGTGGCTTCACGTAGCGGAGGCTGCTGTAGGCCCAATAGGTCCAATTAATATGAGACGGCCGAAAAAGTGACCAGAGTAGTGGCCCGGGAAGGTTTGCGATTGTTAATAGCGAAGGAAGCCACATTACATTTGATTCAGAGGAAATCCGACGGCCAAAAAATGCTCAGGATTGACGATCGAACGGCCATGAAGTGTAATGGCCTGAGAGGGCTGGAAAGTTGCACAATTTTAATGTATCTAAATTTGTGTGCAGGTGCTGTTTACGTGGTGTGAGAAGGTTCTCTTACTTGTTCGATAACCTTGGTCTCATCACTAAGGGAAATATGCACCGTTGCTATACTGCATCATCCCTTCCTCTTTGGGGAAATACCAACGTAGTTCTAGCAGACATCAATGTGCAACTAGGTGAACAACCTATATGATGCAACAACAACAAGCACACAAGCAAGCAAAGGATACAACACAATATAAGCTTGCACAAGTAAAGGTGAGAGATAACCAAGAGTGGAGCCGGTGGAGACGAGGATGTGTTACCGAAGTTCCTTCCCTTTAAGAGGAAGTATGTCTCCGTTGGAACAGCGTGTAGGCACAATGCTCCCCAAGAAGCCACTAGGGCCACCGTATTCTCCTCGCGCCCTCACACAATGCGAGATGCCGTGATTCCACTATTGGTGCCCTTGAAGGCGGTGATCGAACCTTTACAAACAAGGTTGGGGCTATCTCCATAACTTAATTGGAGGCTCCCAACGACACCATGAAGCTTCACCACAATGGAATATGACTTCGCGGTGACCTCAATCATCTAGGGTGCTCAAACACCCAAGAGTAACAAGATCCGCAAGGGATTAGTTGGGGGAATCAAATTTCTCTTGGTGGAAGTGTAGATCGGAGCCTTCTCAACCAATCCCTAGAAAATCAACAAGTTTGATTGGCTAGGGAGAGAGATCAGGCGAAAATGGAGCTTTGAGCAGCAATGAAGCTTGGGGAGGGAAGAGGTGGTCAACTTGGGGAAGAAGACCCCGTTTATATAGTGGGGGGAGATCCAACCGTTACCCATTTATTCAGCCCGCGACATGCGGTACTACCACAAAGACACGTGGTACTACCGCAAGGGCTCGCGGTACTACCGCCCGCGCGGCAGAGACCAGACGAGGCCCTGTTGCGTATAGCAACGAGCGGTAGAACCGCCGGAGTGGTACTACCACGCGCCCTTGCGGTACTACTGCAAGGCAGGGTTCAACTGGGCTGGGAAGGCACAGACTAATAAAACCACATACATGGCCACTTCCTCTGAGTTCCGGTCTGTGCGAAAATCTAGCATGGTACTACCGTTCCCAGGGAGCGGTACTACCCCGTAGGGCGCGGAAGTAAAAAATTACTTCCGCACCTACTTCCGTGTGTGCTAGCGTTCTGGGCTAGAGGCCACGGTACTACCGCTTCCCTTGGCGGTACTACCGTGGACAACAGCGGTACTACTGCTCCCTTGAGCAGTACTACCGCACGCCACAGAACCTATAGCACTTGGATGCCTTCATCTTCGCATAGACAAGGGTAAACGACCGGTGCTCCAAAGAAGCGAAGGAAAGGTGGTGCAAAGGAACAAATGTGTACGTGTTGATTCCACCCTAACCTTTCTGAAGCGGATCCCCTCTTGATAGTACAACTTTCTTATGACTCAAATCCACCGAAAAGAAACATAGAAAACCGCCGTCTTCGATAGGCTCCGAGGGGCACCGAATCGTCTTGTGCCTAGACATGAGATCTCTGAAATGCTCAATGCACACGATTAGTCCGCAAATGTATTGTCATCAACCACCAAAACCACATAGGGAGAAATATGCCCTTCACCGCGGAGTTCCTCCCGTCTCCGTCGCCGCCGGCTCGCCGGCAGAGGCAGCGCGTCAACGTGCCAGTGCACCAGGCGGAGTGGCACTGGCAGCACCGCGTGCCTCTTCTGTACCCCAACACCATCCTGTCGCATGACTGGCACCTGGATCCGGAGAGGATACCAGTGTCGGCAGTGCCGCGATCGGCTAGGGCGCACGCGAAGGAGGTGCGGCACCGACGGGCGCTCGTGACGCCGGAGCAGCACCGCGACCCCCGCGTACGCAAGTGACTCGCCCAACTGGGCGAGATGGTTCGCCTTCGAGCACGAGGAGGCGAGGCGACGCGACGTACGCGAGGTCGACCGCACCGTGCCTCCACCCCCGCTCTTCGTCCGCGAGGAGGACCAGGCGACGGAGGACGCGTACCAGGCGGCCCTTGCGGCAGTCTACCGAGAGAGCGAGGAGGATGAGCGGCAGGGTGGAGGCGGTTGAGGAAGAGGAGGCGGCGTATGAGGCGGCCATGGCGTAGACCATTGCCCTCTCCGCGGCGAGCGACTGCGTCCTGGTGCTGGGTGGCCCCGCCGTCCCCTCTCCGCCGCGGCGTCAAAACTGAGCCGGAGCCGGAGCTGTCCCCATCGAGCGCTACTCCTGGGCGAGAGTAGTGCGCGAGTGGGTCAGCGTGCCACCGGTCTGGGTGGGGGCGACGCCGGCGCAGGAGGAGGCGTACCTCGAGATGTCGTGCCAAAGACGGCTGGCCGAGAAGCGTCGTCAGGGCGAGTACCTCGAGATGCTCGAGCGCGATCTCGAGGACGAGCAGCGCGAGGCCGAGAAGGAGGCGCACCAGGCCGCAGCGGCACATGCGGCCGCACAACCAGCGCCCGACATGAACGCCCAATGGAACACGACGTTCTCCTTGGGCCTGCCCTGCATCGACGCTCACCGACCCCGAGGACGACGACGACGACGGCGCCTAGGGCAGCGCGCCGCCTCAGAGTTTAAGTTGTTTTTAGTTTTCTTTAATGCAAATGTGGACGCGTGGACTCTTGCCGGTCTTCCTGGCGGCTTTAATGTTTAATTAATGTTGTTTTTATTTTAAATATGCATGTACTTTTTTTTTCCTCACGTCGTCAAAATGGATCGGGCCAGTATTGGGCGCATGCGCCGATCCAAACACGGAAGTGGACGTTCATGTCCGCATGGCCGATTCAAATGGACAAAAAAACAAAATCACCTTCCGTTTGGATCGGCCCGCTGGAGTTGCTTTAAGGGAGCAGTCGACGAGTACGAGGACCATGCTGTTACGTGCCGGATAGTATAGGTACTGTACTTGTAATTATGTCGCGGTAGGCTCTAGAGGATCAGATTGTGCTAAATTTTCAAACAGGGATCAAATCACCCTAATCGTGTGTCAGAAGGTTGAAACAGTGATTTTGGCAGCTGCAGGCCTACCCCTTCCGGATCGAGCCGGACCTCGTTCATAAATCACAGCGCATACCTTCTGGTTCTGGTCAGAGATCACCCACCCATCCCATTCCCACCTCCATTCGAAAGCGGAAACCTCCCTGATTTCCCCATCTCCTCCCCCTACCCCCAAAACCCTAGCTCCGCTCCTCCTTCTCCATGTGATGGGATGCCGACCAAACCCTACCCCCAGTCCCTGACCGCCGCTGCGTCCTTCCCCGCGACCTGGATGTCCGCATGGACGGCTTCCGGGCCCTGATCGCCGCCGGGGCCACCGCCGTCTGCTGCGTCGTCTGCGCCATCTGGGCATTCCGCTCCCCTTCCCCCCCTCCCCCCAAGAAGCAGCAGCCCATTCCTTCAGGCTGCTGCGGCTGTGCTTCCTGTGGTTGCTGCGCCAATACCACTTTCCCCAGCGCCAACGGCGAGATGGCCGTCGGCGGGGAGATGAACAAGGCGCCGGCGCCAGCACCTGCAACGACGGGCGCCTCCATGATGGAGCAGCTCGTGCCTGAGATCACCACCCACGCGCTCAGCTACCTCGACTGTACTAGCCTCTGCCGCCTCTCGATGACCAACTCAGCCATGCGCCGTGCCGCCAACGACGATGGGGCTTGGAAGGCGCTCTACCACAAGGTGCTGTGCCCACCCTGCTGCTCTCCTTAGATTTTCCTTGATAGAGTTACTGTTGAATTTGGAGTGTAGCTTTGCTGTCCTGCTAATTTTACTTCCATTTAGGGTGCTGTTTTGCCTGGTATGATCATCTGCTTGGCTTCACATTGCTTTTATGTCTATTTTGTTTGTATACTGAAATTCTCGATCATGCCAATGGGATTTATTGGTTTGCATGAAGGGATTGAATTACATAAGGTAGCTACACGATTAAAGTCACACGAACACACTTTGTGGCTAGGTGCGCTCCATTTTTAATCAACTGTTGGCTAAATTGATTTTACATGGACGGTGACATATCTTGGATAAGTTTACATATGATATGCCAAAAAGTAGCTTGTTTCACTTTCAAAACGTTCCTGTATTCGTCTCGATCTAACCACAATGGGGTTTGACACTGCACAGAAAAAAACTTGTATCGCAATATGCAGTCTAACTGGATATGTGATACTTGTACTTGTATCATTTTTGTCCTGTGAGCACCTTTGGTTGAAAACTTAGTGGTATTTATCTTCCATAGCAGCCATATGGCAAGGCCTTTTTCAGTAATATCTAATGAAACAGCTACTGAGGGAGTACATGATTTACATTATGCGTGTTTTTTCATTGGGACTGTGTGAGGTTATAATGGTTGAATAAGGCAATTTTCGTTGTTAGCATTGATATAAACCCGCCTATCGAACCGCAATATTTTACTTTCTTTGAGTTTGTCATAAATCAACCTCTCCCTTGTAGGATTTTACAGCGGAGCAGGATACTATAACTCCACCTAACGGCTGGAAGGCATACTATGCAGCTACAAAGGCCATCATGAATGTGAATGCCGAGTTCTATAATATCATCAGGGAAGGATCCTTGCCAGCAATGAGTCACTTCTGGCTTAACTCAGACTATGTAAAATGTGTACATGCTACTGGAGAACTTTTTACAGGGTATGTTTAGACTTCACTCTGATTTAGCTATGGCTCAAAAGGCATGACCTATATAATTCTTTACTGTTGCGAAAGATGCATAAATGGCTGATTTCATTTTCTGTTGGATTGAGCAGAGATCGAGAAAGCTTAAATTAGTTGTGCAGCTGCATAGACATATGGATAAGTTACTGCAGAGATAATTTTTGTTTCTTCTGTGAACTTAATACCAGAAGCACTTTGGTAAAGAAAAAAAGTCCATATGGAATTTATTGCTGGTATAGGTAGCACAGTTAACAATTCTGTAAAGCGTTTATTGTGGAGTTATACATAGCACCAATGTCAATTTACTCATCTCCAACATTCATTTCCATGGCCATATTGCTTTCACCTTATATGCGATTTTGTTAAGTCTCGTCTAATAAACAAGTAGAAATGTGCAAGCGGACAGCTTGGTAAGCTTGTAGCACTTGTTCTCTATTTAAATCTTTTCCTTGGGTTATATCTCCCAGTCATTGGGGTTTTGCAACTTAGCTATTTATGTTGCCACAAACAATAGTACTAGTACATGTGCTGTGTCATGTTTAGGAAAATTCCTTCCAGTCACTTATTCATATTCATGCATTTGTGTCCTGCCGTAATTAGGCAGGAGACTGTGATTAAACTGCACATTCCAGCGAATATTAGTTTAGCCATCATGCTAGACAATTACTCCCTCCGTCCCAAAATAACTGTCTCAAGCTTGGTACAATTTTGTACTAAAGCTAGTACAAAGTTGAGACACTTATTTTGGGACAGAGGGAGTATTTTCCAACATCATGTGCTTATAGAAGATTATCAAATTGAGTATGTTCTTGGAGCCCTTAGACATTGTAGTGACCGGCTATCTGGAGTAGTAATCTGACTAGTGGTTTCAGGGTATAGATTCACCTTTTGATCTAGTTTGAATTGGAAATGTGCTGAATGCTGAATATTTTTGCGCCAAGTATGACTGCTTCACCAGAGGTGCACCTTTTTCTACGTATGATTGCTGATGTTGCGTTAGTTTCTGGAAGCTTCTCCAGTGACCAGTACCGTTCCAAGTAGAACCCAGACATATGGTGACAAACACCATCACATTTCTTCACTGTATGGAAATTGAAAAACAACAAGTACCTTCTTTTGCTGCTCGTCCCTTTGGGATGACAGTTCCATTTCAGTAATCCTGGATAAATTTTCTTGTCATTTGTTCAAGTAGACATGATCTACTCTTATGGTGATATGCCAACATTTAACTCCTTGTTTTGACAGATACAATGCAGTGATGAACAGCTGGGGCTTGTTATTCAACTGGGGCCAAGATGGAGGCCAGGGCACTGATTTTCAGCTACGGGATGTCAGAGCTCGTGTACTTGCTGATGTAGCATGGGTTAACATGAAGGTTCATGTCGATGTTGACCCAGGGCCGTTCCATGTGACCAATGTATACGAGTTCCGTAATGGCAGGTGGTATATGGTTCATCACCATAGCTCGCTCATGGCTGACCCGGCGCCACATAATCTGTTTGGCTGAATTCAACAAGGTTTCATCCGCAAGAAAACTTCATCACAGATTGTCAGGTTGCCTGCTTCTGCGGTTTAGACTGGTAGTAGATACCAAATGTGTCCGTGGAGAGCTTTTCTTCACCCTGTTTTCTCGGTTCATTCATCCTGAATCACTGGTTTCTTTATATTTTGCCCATCAGTTTTGTATAAATGTGATGTAGGAGTTCAGATTGTGGAGGGTATATTGTCGTGACCGTGAGGCTGTGACTGACTTGTCTCGTCGATTGTTTAACATGCCTTTCAGTTTAGCTACTGTACTACTACCTCCGTTCTAAAATATAAGACGTTTTGGTAGGCCTGGCAACGTCTTGTATTTTGGAACGGGGTAGTAGTATGGACGAACATGTCTGAAGCCCAACACGGCGAACCGGAAGGCCATGGCTTTGCTTCCCTTAGAGCAACTCCAACGGGCCGACCCAAACGGACGATGATTTTGTCCGTTTTTTGTCTGTTTGGATCGGTCATCCGCCCTGTTTTAGATTTGGGTCGTCAGTGCGTTCAACGGATCGACCCATATTTGCCGTGTGGTCAGCTGGCCGTCTTATTTCAACAAATAACTCATTTCGCATTGCTTTTGCATTCAAACATATAGTCAAATAACATAGCTCCAACTGAATAAAATAGTATAGTTTTACAAGCCGAATACAAGTAAAAATGTTTCACATAGTTTTGCAAGCTGAATAAAAAAGATACATCTATTGGTTGCCAACATGAGCCCATATATTCTCAACCAAATCATTTTGCAGTTGCATGTAAGTTTTCCAATCACACATGTCATGATGGAATTGGGTGAACTATTTAAACTTAAACATTGCCGCTCCTCCATGCTCAGGCACAACATTCTCATCCTGAAACTGAAACCCTTGATCGTACAGATGTTTTGGGCGCTCATCTTCTACGATCATATTGTGCATGATCACACAAGCAGTCATCACCTCCCACAGTTTCTGTGTGCTCTAGGTATTAGCAGGATACCGAACGATGCCCCATCGAGATTGCCAAACACCAAAGACATGCTCGACATCCTTCCTAGCACTTTCTTGCTCTTGGGCAAATCTTTCCTCTTCTCTTCGACAGGGTTGAGGATTGTTTTGACAATAATGGTCCACTGAGGATAGATATAGTCACCCAGGTAGTATTCTTTGTCGTAGTTGTGGCCGTTGACAGTAAAGTTCACCGGTGGGCTGTTGCCTTTAGCAAGCCTAGCAAACACCGGCGAGTGTTGAAGCACGTTGATATCATTGTGTGATCCGGTCATGTCAAAGAAAGAGTGCCAGATCCAGAGATCTTGAGACGCCACAGCCTCAAGTATGACAGTGCAAGCCCTGTCATGGCCCTTATACTACCCTTGCCAAGCAGAGGGCAGTTCTTTCACTCCAAGTGCATACAGGCTATGTTGCCAAGCATCCCTGGGAAGCCCCTACTAGCATTCATCGCCAACAAACGGGTTGTATCTTCAGCAGTCGGCTCTCTCAAGTACTCAGGGCCAAACACAGCAATAACAGCCTTGCAGAACTTATACAGGGACTCTAGGCATGTAGACTCGCTCATACGGACGTGCTCATCAATGAGATCACCGGGCACTCAGTATGCAAGCATTCGGATGACGGCAGTGCATTTCTAATAAGAGGAGAAATCAATCTTTCCAACGGCATCCTCTTTGCACTCAAAGTAGTCATCGTAGCCGACCACCCCCTTTCTAATATGGTTGAAAAGATGCCTACTCATACGGAAATGGCAGCGAAATTTCTGATGTTTGAACAACGGACTTGTTGTATCAAAGTAGTCCTTCTAAAGAAGGAAATGCCCGCTCTCCCGGTTGCGATTCAACGCCGGAAGGTGGCATGAAATGGAGCCACAAAACATCGGGCACTGGCTATTGAGGTGGTGATGGACCAACACGGCGGTCAGTATCTCCTCCTCGTCATCGGAGGACGAATCGTTGGAGTTGCAAAGGAAATTGTGAAAAAAAGAACTCGTTGGCAGAGTCCATTTTGTACCTTGGAAAACTGTTGAATAGCTTGCGGGCGTCGACGAAGAAGACGGCCGACGAAGGGAGTCGCAGCGCGCATGGACCAGCTAGCTGCCCTGCCGGCGTCCGACGAGCGTGCCTGTGAGGATCTGGCCGGGGACAGCGAGGCGGCTTCTTGGTCGCGGTCGGGGATGTGTCGGGGGGAGCGGGGGTGGGAAGTAGTCGGTTCCCCGGCGGCAAGACGGCGGTGGCGGGCGACGTGGGAGGTGGCGGCGTTGCTCAATGGATGTTGCAGGCGTCGGCAGCTGACACCGGAAAAATGGGCGGCGGCGACGAAGGAGGCGGGTGTAGTTGCTGTTGGATGGGGGGAGGCCAATGTGCCACCGACCAGCTGGCCCGAGGAGGAGAAGGCGAGCGCGCGTGTCCGTCTCATGTCCGCGCCGATGCAAATCCGGCTAAAAAATGAGCCGGGAATGGGTCGCCCGCGGACGAAAAGCGGACGTGCGTCCGTTTGGGTCCGCGCGTTGGGCCAAATTTTGTGTCCGCACCGATCCAAACGGACGCCATCGAACGAAATGGGTCGCCCCGTTGAAGTTGCTCTTACTATGCTTGTCGGTTGGGTCATTTGGAACGAAAGAAACGCTAGAGTTTTTATGAAGAATCAATGTTGCCCTACTACATTCTAAAACTAATTCAAGATGAAGCCAAACTTTGGGTCATGGCAGGAGCTAGGCACCTGAGCGTTATCATGCCGCAAGAGTAGTTGTTGTTTTTCTTTTATTGACGGACGGGCTATGTTATGGAGCTGCTATTATGTTATTTATTAAAACTCTTCTCCTTTCTTTTAGTGGTGCTTCAGCCGCACATCGCAATTATTACACCGGCTAGCGGCAACTAGTACTCCCTCTGCAGGAAAATATAAGACCTTTTTTTTTGACATTTTGATTGTGTCAAAAGAAGTCCTATATTTTGATACGAGGGAGTATTTGTGAATTAAAAAATAATTTATTTATAGAATTCATACATTTAATCAAAGTTGAATTCATTTGTAAAATTCATACATTTAGTCAAATACACTTGGATTTTGTTCTCTCCACTACAATTCATACATTTAGCCAAATGCATACCTGAAGTACATCCACTAATAAGTAATAATACTAAAAAATGCAACACGCTGTCAAAATATACATACATAGTTGGTGCATGTGTGGTTGCCGCCGCTACTCTACCTATTGGCTCATAGTGGAGATACTTGTTCTCTTGTGGCATTTCATTGCAAGCACTTGCATTTTTATTCTCCCCATTGCAATTCATACATTTAGCCATTGCAAAAAACTGGTGATTCTTTAGCAGAGCATTGAAATTATGTCACGACAAGTTAGACCGTTTCACTTGTACAATTAGGCAACAAAAGACCAATTCACCCCAAAACACATTGAAATTCATTTTTCGCGCCATAGAGAGTACATTTGTTATACGGACCGAACATGAACGGATCACATTTGTTTTCCCAAACAAAGACGGGATGCGCACATACCTAGACCGACAAAGGAGGTCGGCATAGGCAATAGGGGAGCAAGCGATGGCGAAGACCAGACGTAGTGGCGTCGAGTGCCTGGATGGTAATTCCTCCGTAAAGAAATATAAGAGCGTTTAGACAACTACATTAGTGATCTAAACACTCTTATATTTCTTTACAGAGGGAGTACTTGGGAAGACCAAATCCAAGAAGCAACCATGTGTCAAATCGATGTGGTAGCCGCCGCTATCAGACCAGGACCAGGGTGGTGGCCCTCTTCATCTCTCGCCATTGTTGATTGAGATCGGAGGCCGCTCGGCTAGGGCAGCTACTAGTGGCGGCAGAAGCCATGCTCGTCAGATGGATGCGGGCTAGCAAGTAAAGCGGAGCAAGATGGGCGGGGCAGTGCGAGTTGAGCATGTGGGCTCGTCGGAGTTTGCGGGAATAAGCTGGCGAGCGAGGCGAAGAAATAAGGATTGAAGGCTGAGAGAGACGAGGGAGGAGGAAGAGGCTGGTGAGCTAGGGAGATGCGCTACGTACGAGCCCAATCATCTAGTGGCTACTGGTATAATATATGGGACATACAATTGCAAAAAATAAAATACAGAAAATACGTAAAAACATAGAAATATATTAAAGACGCACACCCACACACGCATATAGTTGTTCGGGCAAACAAGGAAAATATATATGAAAATAAAAAATAAAAAATACTCCCTCCATTTCATAATGTAAGACGTTTTTTGACAGTGTCAAAAAACGTCTTACATTATGGGACGGATGGAGTACATATTAAAAAATAGAGATGGTCGGAGCGGCGAACGACAAGCATAGTCTTAGGGCGTGTTTGGTTGCCGTGTGCTACAGTGTCTGCGTTGCATACACTTCTCCACTCAGTCTGGCTCTAGAAAAACAGCCTCATTTGCGACATCTGTGAGTTGTTTGGTTGCTTGCATATGGACTTGCTGCATTAGGAGATCAACATTGGCACGTTGTTTGGTTGCCTGCATTGTCTCGGTGCATGCAACTACACACTGTTTGGTTGCCCGCATGGGGTATGATTAAAAGCTAGCACTTACACTTAGCACACAGAGTTAAGAGCTAGCAGAGGAAGGGGAGAAGAAATGTAGTGTGCGCCTGTAGCGACCAGACCTCAACCAGTCTGATCTCTGTGCTCAGTGTCATCCCTGGATCAGTAATGCTGACACCACACAGTACTTGGAGGATTTATAACAGAGTAACAACCACACATTTATTACATCGAATGTCTCAAAAGAGAACTTATTGAAATAAATATGTCTTAAGGCCATCTAAAAACGATAACAGCAGAAGGCTTGGAAGATAAGCGAGTCCATCAACTCCAACGGCATCACTGAGTATAGAACCACGACCTAAAAGCACCTTACTCGTCGTCTGAAAAGTCTGCAACATGAAACATTGCAGCCCGAAAACGGGTCAGCACATGGAATATGCTGGC